CCTGGAAGATACTTCTAGATATTGAAACTAATGCAAGGCTGTAATAATTAAGCAATGGGGTAACAGGAGGAAGAGGCATATAGGTCAGAACCAAGAGTACAGTAATAAACCCTTAAATTGATTGTTAAGTGATTCTTGAGAAGTATACCAAGACATGCTCAGTGGGGGGAAAGAATAGGGTATTCAACAAATGGTGATAGGAGGATTGGGGATTTGCAAGCAAGAAAAAAAAAAAAAGAAATCTAAATACCTTTTGTGTATCACACAAATTAACTTGGAATGAATAATAGCCACATATAATAGATACAATTAAAAAACTTAGAATAAACAGATTAAAACCTTCACGACCTATCTCATGGTGATTCAATAAAATTAAAAAAAAAAAAGAAAGAAAAGAAAAAAAGGGAGAAGGGCTTCTGCCTTTCCTGGTGTCCTTCTTTAGGAGAACCCTCTCAAACTTTGTGAGCTTCCCTTCCTTCCTTTTCCATCCTCTCCTTTCCTTTCCCTTTAATGAAGTCATCTCTAAATTTGAAAAACACTTCGCACAAGGAGCCGCAGGTTGGTGGTCTGCCTCCATCCGGGTGCAGGGGGTCCCAGGGTGCCGGTGCTGGCGGCGCTGCAAGGCTGGGGGCGGCCCCGGGGTGCTGCGGGGGCGTCCGGGGAAGGCGGGCCCGGGCCGGAGCTCACACGCGCGCCCCTACTCCCCGCCTCGCCAGTGCAGCCATGGCCCTACGCTACCCCATGGCCGTGGGCCTCCACAAGGGCCACAAGGTGACCAAGAACGTGAGCAAGCCGAGGCTACAGCCGCCGCCGCGGGCGCCTCATCAAACACACCAAGTTCGTACGGGACATGATCTGGGAGGTGTGCGGCTTCAAGTCCCACGAGTGGCGCGCCATGGAGCTGCTCAAGGTGTCCAAGGACAAGCGCGCCCTCAAGTTCATCAAGAAAAGGGTGGGCACACACATTCGGGCCAAGAGAAGAGAGAGGAGTTGAGCAACGTGCTGGCTGCCATGCGCAAGGCGGCCGCCAAGAAGGACTGAGACTCTTGGGCAACAGGAACAGTGATCCAGGGCTGCGGGTGTGGGGTGTGGAGGCGAGCAGGCAGAGTGTTCTGGAAATGGTTTTTTTAATCATCATTAAATATGTGCAGTTTGGAAAAAAATAAAAATAAATAAATTTGAAAAACAAAAACAAAACAAAAAAACAAACCTTCACGACCTTGGGTCAGGCAATGGATTCTTAAATATGATACCAAAAACATAAAAAATAGCAAAAAAAAAAGAGGATGAATTAACTTCATCAAGTATTGTACCGCAAGACTCACCATAAAAAAAAAAAAAAGAAAGTAAAAAGACAACCAACAGAGTAGTAGATATTTTCAAATCAGGGTTCAGTTAGGAGTCTTGCATGCATAGTCTGTGGATGCAATGTAACAATATAAAGACAAATAACTCATTAACAATGGGCAAATCATTTGAACAGAAATTTCTCCAGGGGAGATATGCGATATGACCAATGATTACATGGAAAGATGCTCAAAATCATCAGTGATTAAGGATATGCAAATTAAAACACATGAAATATTAGTTTACACACACCAGGTTGACTGTAATTTAAAAAATGAACAATAAACAGAATTAGCGAGGAAAGGGAGAAATTAGAACCTTCATACATTACTAGTGGGAATGTAAAATCATGCAGCTGCTTTGGAAAATAGTTCAGAAGTTCTTCAAACAGTTAAAATTACTGTAGAACCCATCAACAACCCTAGGTGAGAAATAAAAACTGACGTCCAGACAAAAAACATGTATGCCATTTATGCTAGCATTATTAATACAGTCAGAGGTGAACACAATCTAAGTGTCTTTCAGTGGATGAATGGATAAGCAAAAGGGAGTTTATTCATGATAGAAAGGACCAAAGTACAGTACTAGGTCACGTACTTTTGGTTGAGGTAGACAGTACGTACGGCAGTGATGCCTTGATGCAGCCTACAGCATTGAGGTCTGTATGAGAACACTGTGTAATGACATTAACGCAATGATGACACTGCCCAGTGCACTTTTTAGAACATGCTCCTGAAGTTTAGCAGCAACACTGAACAAGTACTCACGCCTGCTCTAACATGGAGCTAAGTGAAGGAAGCTAAAGACAAAAGTCCACATATTAGAGGATTCATCACGTGAGTTGTCTGGAACTGGCCAATCCTCAGAGAGAAAATAGATTATTGAGTTCGATTCCTCCGCCCCTCTTGGAGAGCCCGGCAAGCAACCGAGAGTATTCGATATGCCAGACACAGTAACAACAAAAGTCTCCAATGGAGACGTTACTGGGCCCGCTCAAGCAAATCGACGATCAACGGGAGGGAATTGTCAGGGGCTGCCAGGGAGTGAGGAAAGAATAATGAGTGCGAATGGGCACAGTTTCTCTGGAGTGATCAAAAAGTCCTGGAATCAAACAGCAGAGACACTTGCACAATTCGGTGACTAAAGTGAAAATGACTGGAATACACACTTGAAATGGGTGACTCTCATGCCATGTTAAAACTGCCTTGATAAATCTGCTATGATGCCCACTTGGACTTCCTGCTCTGTCCAAGGATCGAGATCACTACTTAGTCCTTATTATCGAGAAGTGAAGATATTAAGATGGTTTCACTGCACAATATAAAGACTCAAGTAATACATAATAATGTTAACAGAAAACACATTTTATAGGGTCTCAATTACCTTTCAATTAAATGGTAGTAACTTTTTCTGAGCTGGAGCCATAGAACAGCAGGCAGGGCATTTGCCTTGCACACAGCCGACCCGGGTTATTCCTCCCTCTCGGAGAGCCCGGCAAACTACTGAGAGTATCTTGCCCGCATGGCAAAGCCTGGCAAGCTACCCATGACGTATTCAGTATGCCAAAAACAGTAACAAGTCTCACAATGGAGACGTTACTGGTGCCTGCTCAAGCAAATCAATGAACAACAGGAAGACAGTGCTACAGTGCAGTGCAACTTTTTCTGGGAAGGTGCCAGGGCTCACAGACAACAGAACTGTTAAGATCACACTCACATTCATAAGTATGAGACACCTGGGATCTGAACTCTTGACCATATGCTTGCAAGGCTGCAATGCGGGAACTGTAAACCACGGTACTATTCCTTAAGCCTAAGTGGCAGTATTTTATCCAACAAGAAGTCTGCATTCAGGCCGGAGCTGTAGCACAGAGGGTAGGGCGTTGCCTTGCATGCGGCCGATCCAGGTTCAATTGCCAGCATCCCATAAGTCCCCCAGCACCGCCAGGAGTAATTCCTGAGTGCAAAGCCAGGAGTAACCCCTGAGCATCGCTGGGTGTGGCCCAAAAAGAAAAAAAAAGTTTGCATTCATTACACTGACTCAATTGATACCTGCAATTTTTTTTTTTTTTTTTTTTTTTTTTTTGGTGAGGGTGCACTTAGCACTCAGAAACTTTCACTGGCACTCAGGGAAAACTTTTTTTTTCAGGTCTCCCAAGCAGTGCTCAGGGGGCCAAGGGGCCACTCCCAGTGATACTCCTGGACTGAGCAGAGCTGGGGCCCCCAGGTTCACCCTGGCGGTGCTCAGGGGACCACGCAGCACTGAAAACTGAATCCAGGGCCTCTGACCACCATGTATGTGCTCAAGTCGCCTGAAATTTCTGGTCTAAACTTTCTTTTTAAACTAAAAAAATTATGGTCCTTCACATTAGTATTAATATAAGATCGGGATGAAAACCATTTAAATCATCTATCTATTGAGACTCACATACACAAATTTATTGTCAGAGGAGTTTAATGAATTACACAGATAAGTAAGAAGTATATCTCTCTTCCATGGGGGAAAAAATATCAAAACAAATCTTTCTACCTTAGAGCATAAAATCAATTCAGAGTAGACACAAAGATCCCTCGTTTAAAGCTTCCCATAGATGGACACTTGTAATCAATGTTAACCATTCAGCAGTTCCCTTTATCCACACCTCTGGTGTCTAGGCACAGGACTGACTGATGGAGAATCTTTTCCAATCCAATGTATGAAGCAGCATGATCGGGGGTCACTCATGCCCTAACTGCAAATACAGCTCCGATCAACTGGGCCACAAGTGCCCTCAACACAACTGCTCCTCAGCTAGGGACCCTCTTAGGTGAAGGCAACTGGCTGGGGCTCCGGCCTTAGTGCTGAGCTCCCCACCAGTCAAGTCATTAAATTCCTCTGGTGGAAAAGGACTGAGCTTGAACTTGCCTTCTTTTGTTCTTATTTTGACTGAAAAGAAGTCAACATGTTCACACAAAATGTGCACAAAAATGTTTACAACAGGGGCCGGAGCAATAGTACAGTTGGTAGGGGAGCTTACCTTGCAAGAGGCCAACCTGGATTCAATCCTGGTACCCCATATGGTGTCCTGAGCCCCACCAGGAGTGATTCCTGAGTGCAGAGCCAGGAGTAAGCCCAGCGCATTGCCGGGTGTGACACCAAAATTTAAAAAAAAATGTTCACAATAACATTACTCATAATAGTTCAGCACAGGAAACACCCAAGTTATATTAGCTGGAAAATGTGAAAGAAACACAGTATGTTCTCTCAATGGAGTATTACTCTGTCCCCAAAAGGAAGTACTGCTAAACACCACTACACAAACCACCCTGAACCATTATCCTAATGCAAGGGTCAGAGACAATGGTCTACTTCCATGGAGTGCCTAGAACAGGTAAACAGATGGAGACATAAAGGTCAGTGACTGGGGAGAGGGGGCTCGTTGGGAAGAAGCAGGAGAGGTCTGAGAGAAAGGGTAGGGGGCTGTGCATAATTAAAGTCTTCTACAGTTGTGCTGATGGTCACCCAACTCTGAATATAGTGAAGCTCATGGGCCTTAGAGGCATACTATATATGGCATATGAATCAGAACTCAATAAAGCTGTTCTTAAAATAAACTGAAGTCACTGTCCAATCTCTACTGCTTAGTCTCTGCCTGTACTGGGGACTCTGCTCACCTGAGGTTGGGAAGTCAATCTCGATAGCATTGGAGAGGCTGGTGGCCGCCTCTCTCCATAGGCTGCCCCTGACCGGAGACCAGGCTGTCACCAGGCAGCGGTACAGCCCTGCATCGGAGACCTGAGTCTGGTACATTCGGTAGCGAAACTCGTCTTCCTGAACCTTCTCCAACACCACGCCATCCACACGTGACTCGTCTGTCCAGTTCTCTAGCTTCACCACCGAATCCAGGTCCAGGGAGATGATGTACTTGGTTTCATTGGGACTGGTGAGGTCGCCAACAGGCTTCTCAGCGGTGATGAGGACAGAATAGCGTGGCGACTTAATATTCTTGGAAGACACTTTACAAATCATCTCAAATGTGTTCCCCACGGCAAAGAAAGGCTTGAGCTGTCTGGCCTTCACCACCAGCATGGAGTCTGCAACACAGCACCAGAAAGAACAGGATCATCATTCAAGAGGCTGATGTGAGATGCTGAGGAGTAGCGAGTTATCTGCAATTGCTACATGACAGCGCTCCAGGAATCTGGAGACTCACAAAAAAAATCCTGTGCATGTAGGCAGCTGAAAACCAGCAGGCTGGAGGAATCGAGCTATCTGGAATGATGAAATGAGCGTGATGGAAGAGGGAATGATGGATGAGAATTTAGTTTCAAGGGTTTACTAAATCCTTGAGAAGAGTCACCTATAGTGAGGATTTGGGCAGTCATTGGGGGGCATGAGAGACAATACTTGCCTAGTGGGCTGGAGAAAGCAGGTTAAACACAGCTCCCAGCACCCCCACATCAGTCCAGGGAGACATTTGCCTCGAACACCCAGAGATTCACTGGGTGCAGGGAAGTACCCTGAGCTGAACCAGACTGCTGGATTAAGGATAGTGTAGTGTCTATTCTACCTATTGGGCATGTGACTGCACAAATATTAAGTAAAGGGATCAGTGCAGACACACTGCTAGATGTAGGCATTTCAGACAAGTGTCCATAAATTTTAAGCTTAAGAGAGCTACCCTGGGGGCTGGAGTCATAGCACAGTGGGTAGGGTGTTTGCCTTGCACACGGCCGACCTGGGTTTGATTCCCAGCATCCCATATGGTCCCCTGAGCACTGCCAGGAGTAATTCCTGAGTGCAGAGCCAGGAATAACTCCTGTGCAGCATCGCCGGGTGTGACCCAAAAACCTAAAAAAAAAAAAAAAGAAAGCGCTACCCTGGGGTTGGAGAGATAGTACAGCAGGTAGGGCACTTGCTTTGCATGTATCTGATCCAGGTTTGTTAGCCAGCTTTCATATAGTCCCTGGTGCACCATGAAGAATAATCCTTGAGCCACAGGGTTGGGGTGAGGGGGGGAATGGGGGGGATGAGAGGGATACTGGCAGCATTGAAGGTGGAGAATAGGCACTGGTGGAGGGATGGGTACTGAACCATAGTATAACTGAAACCCAAAACCAAAAAATTATGAGTCTACAACTGTACCTCATGGTGTTTCACTAAAAAGATAAAAAGAAAGAAAGAAAGAATAATCCTTGAGGGGCTGGAGCGATAACACAGTGGGTAGGGCTGACCCAGGTTCGATTCCCAGAATCCCATATGGTCCCCGATGCACCGCCAGGAGTAATTCCTGAGTGCAGAGCCAGGAGTAAGCCCTGAGCATCACCAGGTGTGACCCAAAAAGCAAAAAAAAAAAAAAAAAAAAAAAGATTAATCCTTGAATGCAGAGCCAGGAGTAACCCCTGAGCACTGCCAGGTATGGCTCAAAAACTGGAAGAAAAAAAAAAGGAGAGAACTACTTCCAGTCTCCTGTGAAAACAAAAACATAAGCCCCAAGCAATCCCTGCGCACATATACATGACCCTAGACCTGATTTTCTACAGGGCAGATGTTCCCAAACCTCCACTGGATATGTGAAAACTTTGAACAGGGTCTTAGGCCACACTGTCACCTGACACTTAACACTTGAGGAAAAGACATACACAACAGAAGCCCCACTTGGCCATGCCATGTGGTCTAGGTGTGTACAAGCTCCAGTCCAGTTATCAGACCGCCTATGTTTGTGCAGTCACACTGTGTGACATTCACCTGCATGACACTGAAACCACCTCAAGTCACTTCCCAGAATGGAAACCCATCACTACAAATGCAGTAATGCATATATCCCAAATATATACCCCTTTATAAATAGGGCACAGTAAGATTAACAACAATGACTTATAACATTTACTTCTACTAGGCAAAGAATCATATGTACATGGTCTCGGTCTTTTTCCCCAAACATCTTATTGTGTACGGTATTTCTGGAGTTAACTGAGGGTAAGTGCAAGTGCATATAAGAGGCAGCGAGCGCACTCATGAGACCTCATCTACCAAGAGTCACTGGCGGGGTGGGGGGGATAGGGAGAGTAACAAAATATCTGTAGGATAGGTAAACACATTCTTTTTCATCCTTTTATAAAATGATTAAATCTATAATCTGGTCAATTATAAAAAGAAGTTTTAGGGGTTGGAGCGATAGCACAGCAGGCAGGGCGTTTGCCTTGCACGTGGCCAACCCGGGTTCGATTCCCAGCATCCCAATGGTCCCCCGAGCACCACAGGGGTAATTACTGAGTGTATCAGCCAGGAGTAACCCCTGTGCATCGCCAGCTGTGACCCAAAAAGCAAAAAAAAAAAAAAAAAGAAGAAGTTTTTAGGTAGACATTTGGGGAAATAATTGGTCTGCCAAAATTTCAGCAGAACACAGATATTACAGTTTCTCTCTAAATTCACAAGATGGGCTGGATAGTTCAAGTCTTGGAGACAGTGATGCTAAAGCCCAGGGGTGCTGGGGGTTGGGGAGCGCCAGGGAAGCAACTGGTATAGGAACGTGAGAAGCCAGGCTGGAGATGAGGGCGGTGTGATCATGGGAGAAAGAGAAGTGGCGTGAGTCCAGTCAGCTCTGGAGAATGAGGAATTAAAGGCCAAGGTGTGGCTCACAACAACAATGACTCTGGTGATAGCAAAGGTGAAAGAGATCAGAGCAGTCACATCAGAGCAACATAAACTTGCATCTGGGGTTCTGGAGAGATCTCTGGGTTTCTCCAACTACCACTGGGGGGACATCCAGGTGTGAGGGGGGGGTGTCCCTCGGTGCTCGGAGGAGCGATCACCCAGCAAAGTTCCTAGAAAAGAAGTTGAGGGCTGTGTCTTGGGAAGCAGGGATGATGGAGCATGAAGAAGACAGAAGGGATAAAGTAAAGGAGCCCAAAGATTCACACAGAGAGAGGCCAGTCCTGGGGGAGGCCCCTCAGTCCAGGAAGCTGGATCAGGCCAGAGAGCTCCCTCACCACCTACAGCTTGCTGTGTCGAGGAACTAACAACACATTCTGCAGTAGGTTGATCAACGTGACCTTCAGAGGAGCAGAAGGATCAGAGAGTATGGAGAGTCTGGACACTGGCCCTAACAAAGTAGAAATTAGAGAAAAAAAATTTTTTTTGGTTAGGGGTACCATACCAGGTTGTACCTGAGGTTCTGGTGAGGGAGGTGATGGCACTATGACCATCTGGGAATTTAAGCTGCAAACAGGAGGGTGGCTGCATGTCTCATGCTTCCTTCCACCTTTGGGAAGGTGTAGGAATGAATGAAGGATAGTGATAAAGGCAATCATCTGGAACAGCAGGCATGGGTAGGCAAGAAAGAAGAGGCATCGGGAGTAATGGCAAGCTGGCGGGACTGTTGGCGGGGCCCTGACAGGACCTCAGGGCTGTGGGGAGCCCCGAGAGGGGGATGGAGAGCATTACCCCACAGGTGTAGAGAATGGGGTTAGAATTTGTTTAGATTTGAGAGTGGGGAGGTGGTGGCCATCAGAAGCAGATGTCTGGTATGGGGTGCGCCTGGGTGCTCAGGGGATGCATGGAGCGGATGGCATGAGGCCTGGGGAGCAACTGGGGCCGGCTCCCTCAGGACCATCAAGCTTGGACCATACATGCAAATTCCAACTCCATCCTGCCAACTACCCCAGGACATTCAGGGCAGAAACCCAGGGCAAGCAGGGGGATGTGACTCCAGCACTGGGGTGGCTGCAATGTGCAACTTAGCCTTCCACATGCACAGTGAAGATGGCAAGAAAGGAAGGGACACTGGTGGGAAAAGACTGCTGATAACCTCAGGAAGATGATGAGAGGGGGCCAGGGCTCGGCCAATGAGGGCAGTGGGTGCTGGCCCTGGGCACTTTTGGGATAAGAGAAATGGACGTCCTCAAAGCTGCCAAGAGGGACACAGAGGGCACTTCCCTGCCTGGTGCAGTTGTACAGCAGTGTCAGAAGATAAGCCTGGTCTGCAGGGGGCTCCGGGCAGCACAGGGGAGGGTATAGTCCCCAGGAGGGCAGAGAGAGGAATGCTGGGAGCGAGGGGCTCTGTTTGGGTTGGGGTGCAGGAGGGATGACAGAGTAGGCAAAGAGGCTTGCAGGCACCCTGTACTACTTCAGCTCCAGGCAGGTAGTCATGGGTTTCCTGGAGAAACTGACAACTATCAAGAATATGGGGCTGGAGAAACAGTACAGCAGGTTGGTAGTTTGCCTTGCACACGGTCAACCAGGGTTTGGCCAGCATCCCACATGGTTCCCTGAGCTAAGCCTACCAGGGGTGACTCCTGAGTGCAGATCCAGGACTAACCTCTAATTATTGCCTGGTGTGGACCAAAAAATCCTAAACAAAACAAACAAAAAAATGTGGGGCCAGAGTGACTGTACAGTCAGTACGGCATCTGCCTTGCATGTGACCAACCTGGGATCAATCACATGTGTTTCTCCCAGCCCTGCCAGAAGTGATTCCTGAGCGCAAAATTGCAAATCTAGAAGTAAGCGCAGAGTACTGCAGGGGTGGCCTAAAAAGCCAAAAAGAAAAAGAAAAACAAACCCAAAACCCCAAAACAGAACCAAAAATGTTTAAACTATTCTATATTCCCTGAACTACAATAAAAATACTGCATTTCATTGTGTGCGTGTTTGTGCGTGTCTGTGTGTGTATAAAATATTTATCATGCGTAAAGAAAAAAGAGAAGCAGTTTCCCTGAGGTTCTTGTCACCTCTCTGAAACACCATCTTTGCACCTCTGCATGGATGACCGGCTCCTGGAGACAACACAATGGCCTGAGGTCACTGCCTCAGCTGTGACACCTCAGGTCCCCTCCCCCCGCCAGCAGCCTTGTGGTGCAGACTCAGCCCACGAGGTGGTGTGATATGAGGAAGAGTGTCCACGGCTCAGTTCAGAAACAGCCTCCATGTCACGGGACTTCCTGCCCGCCAGCACCATCCCTGAACTACTAGAAAACATGCAGGCTTCAGGCAAAGCACCAGGCAGCAAGAGCTGCTTCAGGGGTTTCCCAGTGCACAGGAGAGCCTGCTCAGGGCAGATTGCTCATCTGAGGACACACAGGAAAGCCCCAGGGTACAAGAGAACAGCTATAGGACAAGAGCACAGGCCCCCACCTTCAGAGGCCCAGAACACGTTGACGGGCCTCGAGAAGACCTCCTTGCTCTTCACCCAGCTGTTGTTGCGCTGCCTTGTCCAGGCTGACACGATGCAGTAGTAGCTGCCTCTGTCTTCCTCAGTGGTCCTCTGGATTCGGAAGGTGAATGTGTCGCTCTGCTCCTTGGAAAAGATGAAGTCCCCATCCCGGGCCCGCTGCTGGCTCCTCTCCCCATACTTGAGCGTCCAGTCTCCATTCATGACAGCCAGCAGCTCACTGGCCACTGCGTCATCACTACGCCGATTCAGCCGATAGTACCAGGACACAGTGAAACGCATGCCTGCCTCGGCATTCCTGCTGTCCACCCGGCAGTCCAGCTTGGTGAGGTCATCCGAGAACTCGGCCACCTTGGATGCATTTAGGTACACCTGGTAATCTGGTTCTGGACAGAAGAGAGGGGTCAGGGTTAAAACTTACACAGAGCAGCACCCTGATCCAGCCAAGAGTGGCTCCTGGGTCAGGAGGGGACGTCCATCCTTTCATTAGGGAAGGCCTACCGAGAGCACTGGGTGCAGAGTTCAGTGGGCACAGCCACATGCTGCTGTGTGCTGGTTATGACCCTTCATGGAAGCCAAGTTCCCTGCTCCCCAGGTGCTCCCAAGGTGCATCCCCTCCCTCAACCCCCCACACAGGACTTTTAGAAAGGGCCGCACTTTTCTCCTGCCACCCTTTCATCTTTCAGGAGAAAAAGAATCCTTGCATAAAAGAACATTTTCTTTGCCAACACTATCTGCATCCCCATTGCTTTGATCAAATGGCTCCATGTTACTTAACGCTTTTATTTATGACTCACACAGATTATAAACTGCTGAGGTCAAGCAACTGCTCTTCTGTGATTTACACTTCTAATGAAATGTGCAACATCATGACCTCTCCAAGAGTGATCCAGAGGCCAGAAAATAAGATGATTCCACATGTACGTTCCTTCTTCCCAAGTGGCCACTGCAGTGGGCTGGGGAAGTGTAGCAGGAACCCAGGGATGCCAGACAGTGATGGGGTCCCCGACCTGCACAGCAGGCATGCCAGCCCCGGAAGGACCAGGGTACCTGTCTATTCCTGAGCAGCAACCAGGGCCAGTGGAACAAAAATGAATTTTGTTTTGCTAGGGGCCAACTGCTGGCTCTGTGCACAGGGATGACTCGTAGCAGTGCTTGTGGTGCCAGGGATTGAACCCGGGTCTGCTGTATTATCATTCTGCTCCCCTCAAATGAACTTCTACCACCATGGATGAGAGACAAGCTATTCCCCGGTGACCCCAATCTGAGGTCCCAGATCCTGTCCTCCCCTCTGAATCTGGGCATACACCTTGGGAGGCAGAGCAATGAGCACTGTGAGTGGGGAAGTGAGAAGTCTCAGCGTCTCAGGACCTGAGGGCCTGCAGTGTGAAAGGCCTTCCCTGGCTGCAGGTCCCTGGCTCCACTAAGATCCACCTGGAATGGTTCTGGGCTCCTGGCACAACCCAGGGTGACCCCACAATACTGAGAACAGAGACCTCACTGGACATAGCAATCACGGTCACTAACCAACTCTGCTTCAGACACATTCTGTGAGACCCTTATGCTTGTGACCAGATTAGCCTGGAGGAGGCAAAGAACCAGGCTCTCAGCCAGTGTATGAGACTGGCTCTACCACGTGCTTGCTGTGTTCCCTTGGCTACAGCACTAACCATATCTCTCCAGGAATGGGGACAAGAACCACACTTCCTTCATAGTATTACTGTGAGAATCAGACTTACTACAAATAAAGGTGCTCAAACCAGTCCCAGGCATGTGTGATTATACACAAATACACACAAACTGATAAGCACAGGCATATGTTTTGGGAAATATTCTTTACAGTTCTCATTTTCTTTCAGGAGGCAGACCTTTAAAGAGGTTAACAATCGAGGTTCCTACTGCTGTCCCCACACCAACTGCCTAACTCAACGCTCAACGGTTTCATTCAGTTTCTCTGCAGAGATACCAAACTGCAAACGTTGCAGGTACTCTGGTGCTGGGCTAAGAATTCTGAGGTCTTCTCTCAGTGGGGGCGGGAAACTTCCCCCTGCCCCCCTCGCTCCGCCCCGTACTTCCAGAAGCCCTGGAAGCCACACCCACTTCCCACAGCCGCTACCATGTCAACTAACTCACACACCCTGCTCTTCAAACTAAATCTCCAAGGAGATGTAAGCCAAGCAAACAGCTAGGATTCATGAGCACACAGGTCCCTGGCTGAAAACTCTGAGGTGACCCGGGGTGGGGTGGGGATGGGTCTCAGCCCTGCCCAAACTCTGGCAGTCACACTCACACAATCCTGCTGCTGCCACTCTACAGGTCCACTGAGGACCTCTGCAAATTCATCCCCATTCTACAGATCCTGAAATTTCTGGACTGTGAGGTTGTGTACGTGTATGAGGCTGCATAACACCTCCAAATGATTTCCCTTTCCTACTGTGTTAGAGACAATCTCATCTGGCACTCGTGGTCCTTACAGTGCAAGTCAAACCCATGGAACTGTCCAGTCCCACCACCTGTGCCTTCTCGTGTACATTCTCTACACTATTTGCACATCAGGCACCATATTCCCTTTACATGGGGTTCTCTGTCTCCCTTTACCTTGTTCCCTCTGTCTCACCAGGGCCCTGCTTAGGAAGGAGTGAAAGAAAATGGTTAAGTGCTTTCTACCAGGCCACGCCATGCTTCCACCTCTGTGTGAATCTGCCTAGATCCCAGGGAACCAGACACGCAGAAGAGTGTCCAAGTGAGTTAAGGCTTGTGGCCTTCTGGTTGCAAAACTCTATTGATGCTTGGCAGGAGAGGTTAAATTCCTTTACAAACTGGCTGTATTCTCTGTTAAAACTAAAAAGGAAGCCCACAAAGGAAAACCGCAGGCCTAGACAAACACCAGCAAGTGGATTCTCGGCCTTGGTCCTCACAAGGTACAGGGTGTAGAGATTTTAAGGATGCCCAGAGGTCAAAGGCCTGAAGTGGAATCCCCACAGTGGTGAGCGATGGGTGCACCTGGCTCCTTTTCTTGTTTTGGTGCCTGTGAAGGAACTTTCATTCACCACTATTTCACAATTTTATATGCTGTTTGCAGGGGCTGTATTATTTTTCAAGGCTTAGCATGAACAGAGTTTTCCCCTTGAGTTTTGCAGCTAGTACCTGGCAGTGCTCACAGACTACTCCTGGCTTTATGCTCTGGAGTCACTCTTGACAGGGCCTGGTGCCGGAGATGGAAGCAGTGTTGTGTGAAAGGCAAGTGCCTTCCCCACTGCACCACCACCCGCAGAGCCTCTCCAGTGGTCCAGAGAATGCTCCCTTTGAACTCACCTAGCCAATGACACCTCAACTTCTAATGCAACAAGAAATGTCCTTATACTTCCTTTCTTTCCTGGAAAGATTCCCTGCTCTCTGAAGATTTAGCTTGAATGTTGACGGCCTTAAACTGCATTTATTTTAATTTGACTTTCTTTAGGATTTGCCTGGGATCAGGGGCTCCCAATCCTGTTCATTTGTATGTGCTATGCATGCACCTTGTGAAAAAAAGATATGAACATGCTTGCTGAATTGGGCTAAATTTAATATTTTGCATAAAAATGCTTATTTTGGGGCATAAGCATTTCACTACTGATTACAACAATATTCTGCTTGATCTCATCAAGGACTCAGCTAAGAATGAAATGGTAGTTGTTTAGAAATGCTTACCAGATGCATAGGAAAGTATTTAATGGCAAAATGACATGGAGTCTAGGACATGCTCTAAATTTTTCCAGAAGAGAGAAATCGAAGAAGATAAAGATGTAGAGAGAGACAGAGGGAAAGGGAGATAGGAAAGAGAGAGAAGGGGAGAAAAGGAAGGATTGGGGGGAGAGGGATAGAGGGGGAGAGGGGTGGGAGGGAGATAAGAGAGGAGTCTGGAGGAGGGAAGAGAGATGAAAGATGAAGGGAGAGACAGGGGAAGGGAAATAGGAAAGAGAGCAGGGGAGGAAAGGAGGGATGAGGGAGAGGGAGAGGGAGAGAAAGAGGAAGAGAGGAGTCTGGAGGAAGGAAGAGAGATGAAACAAGACAAGCAAAATATTGACAGTTGTTGAAGATGGCAATATAACTTCTGTTCATTTCTGTTCCAACAGTAACAAACCAGCCATTCAGCCATGATGGAAGTCACTACACACAGCACTAGAGCCAGACAGCCAGAGCATACTGGCTTGGAGTTGCTGAGGTTCTGCAAGGCAAGAATTTGCTCCCTAATCTGGCTCTTGGGGGCATGTGTACATCTCTGGAAGCTACAGCCTAGCACAGCACACAGCACAACCTTCCCCCAGAGAAACTTATTTCCTCAACATTGGTTATTAAACTCCTTTGTTACAACTTTCAAAACAAGGGAGAGTTTCCGACCCACTGGCTCATTTGCAACAGCTGCTATTTCGGGCGTACTGGGTGCAAGGGTCTGAACCTGCAGCTTCCACATAGACTAATTCCTTCTACCCTCACGACAATTTTAGAAGGAAGGTATTACTGTTCCACTATACAACGAAAATGAATGGCATTAATCAAGGATTCTTTAGGTGATAGATTCCATGCTACATACTTTCCATTTGCATTTTTCTCCTTAATCTTCATGATTTTAAGAGACAGGAATTCTTTATTGCTTTGCTTGTTGTTTTGGGGCCACAGCCAGCATGTTCAGGGCTTACTCATGACTCTGAGTTCAGAGATCACTTGGGCTGAGCTCAGTGATGCAGGGGCTCCAGTCAGGGGTGGTGGGTGCATGCAAGGCAAGCACCTTACTTGCTATACAACCTCTCCAGCTTAAAGAAGATAGAAAATCTTTTCACGAATAAAACGTTTTCTAAATAAACAAACAAAAAAGAAACAAAGTCCAGAAGAGCACCCTCTAAAGACCATGGTCTTGCAAAGCGTGTGAGAGCAGAATTACAGGCAAGACTTTGGCTGTGTGACCTAGGTCCCTGAAGGGCCATACAGCACCACCTCATCACATGGCTGTAATGCCTTCTCAAGCCGGCTACATCCCGGAAGGCTAAGAATGACGACAACTGCTAAGGCACTAATTCTGAACAGTGCACAACTGGTCCTAGCCTTAATACCCCCTTTGAATCTTAGTTAAGCTGGCAGACCTAATTAGGTGAGTGAGCTGCATGCACAAGTGAGAGGCCACAGGGGAAGGAGTGCCCGCTGAGCTAAGGGAGGTTCTAGTCTCCTGAACTGGACAGATGCTAGGGAGGCTCCCGCCAAGCTATGTGCAAAAGAATTACCACTCTTGGCGTATAAAACAATTCATTCTCTAAAACTCTAAGAGAAGGCAAGACAATGAACATTTGAACAAGAGGAAATGCAAATCAAAACATCACTGAGAGGGGCTGAAGTGATAGTATAGTAGGTG